CCAGCACAGATACCTTCAGGAGAAGGGTTTAGATTTAGAAGATGGCTCTATATTTTATAGCAAACAGAGGACATGAGTAGAAGCATTGAAAATGGTAAGACAGATGTAATGAGTTTGCCATAGTTTATGCTGGTGAGCAGATGCTCTGTGCTAGGTGATGTTTCTGCAGTCTTGAACTCCTCGTGCCTGTGTGTGCTGCATTACTGCAGGGCAGGGAAAGGATGCTGCAGGCTGAACCTGACCCTGCTCAGCATCTTCCATGTCAGCAGGGTGACAGCAAACACTGCCTGCCGGCGCTGACAGCAGTGGTCACTGTCACAGCGATGGTCCCACACCGCAGGTAGCGGTTGTGTCCTGGTAGCAGAGCTGGTCAGTCGCTGCAAACACCAACAGATGTGGAAAAGGTCCTAAGGACCAAAAGATGACCACAGCTCTAGTGCTGGACATGCCAGTCCTCATTTGGTGTCAATGAATATTGAACCAATCTGACAACAATCTTTCTATCAGAGTAAACAGCCTGAAACACACTAACAATTATATGGGCTATACTGCTAAAAAGAAGTATCCACTGGATGTGTATGTAGGATGAGGGCTGTACTGCAGAGACAACCTTGTAGCTTGGGCAGACAAAAAAAACCTGATATATTGCAAAGCTTTTAAATTAATATTCTTGAGTGCTTCAATGGGGCTGATTTAAAACTTCCAAAGGAGCCACACTGGCTCTTCCTAAACACCACTTTGTCCTGGCCAGTAAAAGAAAGTGTTAGCTTTTTGAATGTGGGGATCGATAATCCTGCATTTTCTTAAATTCTGCATTAATGCCAGTAAACGCAACACAGAACAAGTGGCTCTGTGGTTGAACAAGTGATCCTATCTCCCCCTCTGCTGGAAAACCATGATATGACCTCCTGGCAGAAGATGTGCAGGGAATTGAGCTGGGGGAGCTGCTCTGGCCCTCCCAGGGACAGAATAAGCCATAAAAACTGAGCCGAAGTCCCCCCCAGCACAAGGTTGTACCCTGCTATCCACTCTTGTCCATTTTTTTCTGGTTCTGAGGTGTTTTTTTCAGATATATGGACCCTACTGCACTGCACCCAGGAGTGGCCGTTTCCTTCACTCTGTGCCCCATCTCCTTCTCCCACATGTGGGGCCAGTAGCTGTGACAAGGGAAAATAACTTGTCAGACCATCCTCAATCTATAATATTATGACACTGGGCTAATGTTATCACCCATTATGTCATGGGCAATACCCACATCTAGTTATCTACCAAAGAAGACTGGATTGTCCAAAAATCTCCCTGGTTTTCAGCAGTCATGCTGCCCCCCCTTTCTAAAAGTCTGAAAGATTAGGAATAAATCATATTCCTAAGATCTTCTGTTGTTTCTGGTCTATAAGACCTCTGTGAGATCCAAAAAACCCCTCCAAAATGTACCTATAACATATGACAAATCCCACCAGTCACTAAGGAGCTGGATAAGAATAATGAAGGGAAAATAAGTTTGCTGAATGCTGTGCTTGCAGCCCTTGGGATGATGTGTCTATATAAGATACTAATTGCATCACTGCAAAAACCCCATCCAAATCATAAAATTTTAAATTTTTAAACAGGTTGAAATTATTTGTTCTGGTGAGATTGTGCACTGTCCGGGAGTGTTTGGTGCTGTTGCTCTCAGCAGTAGTATTTGGTAGTATTGGAGTCACGGCTGTGCCTGGGAGCTCCCGTTCGGGGTCAGTGCCTCTGGTACACAAACCCAGACCAAACCCCAACCTCCTGCTCCAAACCACTGCCTGTTTAACAGAGGCGATGGACAAGGTGGTCATTGTTTTTTGCTGGGGTGTCTCTGTTCATGGCAATTGGCAGCTGGGTGGGGACCAATGGGAGGCACCAGCACTGCAGGGAGAAGTAGGTTCTATCCCTAGCAAAGGGATTTCCCACATTCCCTTCAGCATTTCAAGGAGGGTGTAAAGTCCTGTTTTGTCATCTCCTGTCTAGTTTCTCTTAAGAAATTGTGCCATGTGGCCCATTAAAAGGTGACTTACATACAGCAGTGCCAGCTCCTTATCATCAGGCATTTCTCAGAAAGATCTGGAGCCAGAGAAAGAAGCTGGCTTCCACTTCTGCAGTGTTTCATCTGTAAAACACCACAGCCATGCACACTGCACTCCCCGTGCAGTCATTAGAGCCCAGTGCGATTTATAGCAGCCCTGGGGCTGCTGTCAAAGGGAGGTGAGGCAAGCGGGGTCCCACCAGGGCTAGCACTCACAAAATGCATGTCTTAAAGAAAACTTGGCTTTTTTTTTTTAATATTTAGAGCCCATATAGAGGAATCTACCCTATCCTTTTCCGCAAGATCATGGCTCTGAAGTCACAGCCTCCTGATTCTCCAACAGTGCTTTAATTCACGGCCAGCATTCATATCCCTGGGCGAGTCATAAATCCTCCCCAGCTACCTGTACACAAAGCCAGCATTCATTTTCATCACATCGTGACTCCAGCCCTGGCTTGGGGGACTTCCCTGCCAACTGCCAGCTTTTTCTTCTCCAAGACCACCACGCAGCAGCAGAGCTTTTCATGTGGCAAGGAACGAGACTCACACTTCAAGTCATGTCTCCGATGACTGCGACTTTTTTTCTCAAATTTTTTTCCTTTTTTTTTTTGGAGCTCTCATTGAGTTTGACTCTGGAAAGCAGGGTCAGGTTAGGCTGGGACAGCATTGCTCCCACTGCCAAGCGTGGTAGGGATGCTTGGGGCAAGGCTTTCCCTGATGCCACTGTGCAGAGGGGGAATGTCCATCCACAAGTCATTACCCTCAAATTGGTGGAGAGAAATCTGGGCCACCTTCAGACAATCATATGCATGTAGTTTGCCATCAGACCCCACACATTACAGGCAGTTCTTTGGGAATGGTGTATATGAGAGGTGCTGTATCCTGGAATGTGGGACTAGGACTGGTCTGTCGATGTGTGAGTATTGCCCAGGCTGCTGATGGATCCCTGTGAAGGAAAACAGCAAGTGCTCTAGCAGAGAAAGACAAACTAGTATTGGATTAGTTATGGAGGGAAAAAGAAAGTTCTGGGGCTCTGGGTTCGCTTCTTGCCAAGTTAACTGCCTTGCTTTTCCTGGGAGACATGCTCTGTAACAGCACAGGCTCAATGTTTGGACAGATCCTGTCAGGCTGTTCTTCAGGACAGAAATATCCAGTAATGGGAAAAGTCTTGTTTGCCTTAATTTAACTGGTCTGTCCTTAGCACTCTGAGAAACAGCTCACCGTGAAAGAGCTGCTTCACCAGGGAATATGTGTGGGCTTCAGCAAGGATGACTGTTTTTTGCTGGGCTCTGCTATCCAGAGATGAAGAAAACACTTGGTTCCTCCAGGGAAATGTCTGTTTTAATCACTCCGAGTCTCTGGCTTTGGCTTGGGGAAGAGCCTGGTGCAGGCTGAGCTGATGCAGTAGGATGGGTGTCACTTGTGGGGAGACCTGCAAAGAGGTGGGGTACAGATCATTGCCCCTGCATGGTAGGACCCTTCTACTCTCTTTGGCTTCATGTTCCTCAGGTGTGAGAAGGGACCTGAGAACTGCTGTGTTTATGGACCCCATATAGATGTGGGTGCTGTGAGGTCACCCGTGCCATGGGGAAGTGCCGTTCTCTCCCTCAAAAAGCAAATCAAACCAATTCTTCCCTTTCTGAGCCCATCCCAAGCCTGCCACAGTGTTGACGTTCATGGTTGGGGGACGGTGACTCAGGTGAAGGAAGTGTGGAGGGGCAGGGCAGTGCTTGGCCCAGCCCAGGTGAGGCTCTCCCCGCCCTGGGGGCAGGTCCAGGCCTTGGCCCAGGTGTGCTCTCTGGCTCACCCCACCTCACCTGGTGCTTCAGAGACCGGAGCAGGGACCAGCCGGGGCTGGAGGCAGGGAAGATGGTGTGAGGCTGAACTGTGGGAGCCATCGCAGAGCAGCGAAGGGATGGATGTGGTAACTGCTGGGGTGCTGCTCCTTCCACCCTCACTGCAGCAATGGGCTGCTCTGTCTCCTCTGCTCCTGGCATGGGTGAAATATTTCCTGCTTGATTTTCTGCTGCTGATCTGTAGCTTTGGGGCTGTTACCTCTGTGAAGTGCCAGGAGCAGATTAACCTCGGGGTTAGGTGCAGGCTCTTGTTGCCACGTTGGCTCTGCATGGAGACCGCAAAGGGACAGCTTTTCTGCCCCAAAGCAGGGGCTGAGGGGCTCCTGCTGCCTTGTTTCTTCCCAGTTGCTGCCTCTTCATTTAACAAAAACTAGAGATGGATTTTATTTATTGTTTTGTGGTTTTTTTTTCCTGGGAGAGGCTGGCGGGTTAATGAGTAGACCATATCTGCAATGTGTTCTCGTCAGTGTGCCCGGAGTGCCTGGGCTCGGCTCCAGCCGCCCTGCTAGGGGGCAGAGGGCACTGTCGATTAAACATTTACCCAGGGGAGCTCCCTTGGAAATCAAGATAAAGAATGGCTGAAACCAAAAAAATTTCAGGAGGGGAACATGCAGTTCTTCCTCTCAGCTGTCCGGTGTGTCGCGTCTTGAGTGGGGTTTTCTCTCCCGGGGTTGATTTGTTTTAGAAAAGTAACTACAGAAAACTAATGAGAACTCAGATTCCTTTTGTTTAGTCCTTGGTATCAGCACAAACCTCCAGCTGCTGCTGTTTCTAAAAGGTATCGTTATCATGGGCTTAAGCTGAGCTTTATTCTGCTTCCTAGAATGATATTAATGTTAGAAGAACATTTTATTTATAGGGAGAAAGTATGGAAAGTTTAGCTGTCCCCTGACTCTGTAATGCTCATAGCTTTCCGGCCAGTGGAAGTTTGTTCCCTTTTTATTCTCTCCCTCTCTCATCTCGCACGGGCTTTGGCCAAATGTGTTATTATTCACAGTGAATTATTTGGCCAGATGTAGCTGTAAGGCACATTGTGAGCTTTTGGCAGTTCTTTAAATTTATTAGAGTATTCTTCCCACTTGTCATCTGGCCTCATGTTCAGGGGAGCATCTCTCCCTGCTGTGCTGAACCCACCCTGGGCTGGTGGGGTACTGGGACCTCAGTGTGTCCTGCCTGCCTGCCACCTGCTTGGCACTGTGTTTAAGCTGAGCATCTCCCTGAGCTAGCGGGTTGAGGAGGAGAGCTCCTGGGATGTATCTGTGGTTTGAAACAGTCCCGGCTCTGATGGATAATCATCTCTGCAGAGACCGGGAGAACTCATTGTACCTCAGAGGGTTGTGCTAAGCTCAACCCTGGGCAAGGAAATGGCTGTTGCAGGAACTTTGCTGGAGAGGAGAGAGCCTCCGGGCTGGCTGGTGTGGATGTACAGGAGGTGGGCATAGGGTGCAATTTAACCCCATCCTTGCCAGCAGTTCAATGTGCTTGGCCAGGGGCTGTACGTGTCCTTCCCACACTGGGTCTGCTCCTGGCTTCAGTGTGAATATCCCAGTAGGCTGCAAACTGGGGGAAACTATATTATTGTGAAGCACACCAGGAGTGCATTAAGCACAGATAACCTTCCAGTTAATTAGGCAAATCATTGGAAGCTGCCATTTCAAGGCAAGAGGAATAACAACTTGAGGGGGGGAACTTATCAATATCTATAAATACCTGAAGTGTGGGGGCCAAATGGATGGGGCTGGGCTCTTTTCAGTGGTGCCCAGTGACAGGACAAGGGGCAATGGGCACAAACTGCAGCACCAGAAGTTCCATACAGACTTAAGGAAAAACTTCTTTACTGTGAGGGTGACTGAGCCCTGGGACAGGCTGCCCAGAGAGAGTGTGGAGTCTCCATCTCTGGAGATGTTCAAAACCCACCTGGACGCTTTCCTGTGCAACCTGATGTAGGGAACCTGCTTTGGCAGGGGGGTTGGACTGGATGTTCTCCTGAGGTCTCTTCCAACCCCCACCATTCTGTGATTCTGTGAAAAGGGAGGCTTGTATCCGTCCCTCTTTAATTTAAAGGTAGTGCCAAGCTAGTGACTGTCACAGCCATTGCTGTCACTGACAGTGACAGGCCTGACCAAAAACCCTGTTCTGCAGGACTCTGCCTCACCCCTGGCACATTGAGACACGCAGGTACTTTTTCTTTTCTATTTTCTTTGTCTCTGAGGGCACTGATGAGGAACTATGTGCTACAGTAAAGAACATCAGTAAGGAGAGGTAAACAGCACTGAACTCTTCAACCGTTGCTGCAGCACGTGTGAAAGCTTGATGCCATTGCATGAGGGCACCTCGTTGCTTTATTTCCTGTCTAGCATCGCTGGAGGGATCAAGTACATGTGGGATTACTTTTTTGCCTGAAATCTGATTCATCCTCCGTATGCTTCTTGAAAACTCCCATTCCCATCGGCTCGCCGCTAGATTAGGCTGTCTGGGCAGCTAACACGGCATCACGCTGCTGACCACTAATATGAAATATAATTGGAGCAATTCAAACCTCTCCCCCAAGGGTTGGTTCTTTACATCATGCGCTGCCCTGTGAAAGTAATAAAGTCAGTGAAAGGGGTTATTCAAGAGAAATTGTCAGTGTTTAATAAATCGTGCAATTAAATGCAATAAAACCTCAGTATGCTATTCATCTGTTCTGCCTTAACACTTAAGGCTGGGGCTTTTTTCAGAATAACGAAGTTCTGTCCTAGATAATTTTTTCCAATTTCCTCATTAGACAGGTTCTCGTGGAGCCTCCCAGTTCCCCGCACTGAACTAAGCTGCCAGAGTAGTGCACCTAATGTAATCATGGCATATAAAAAGTTATAGAGCAGTTCAAGGACTTAAGTAGCTCATAAATTTTTCTTCATATTTTCTCCCTAGTTCAGTTCAGGGCTGAATTTAAGCCACGACATTACAGACAAAAATTGTGGTCCCCTTTCTCCAGCACGAGATGATGAGATGCCCGGGCACAAAAGCTTGAAACAAAATGTTCCTTAAATGCCCTTTTAAACTGCACTGTCACTGATCAGCTCTCTTTGTTCAAAATCATATATAACCTGGAGCTTGGCAGCTGTATGGGAGAAAAATTGAGTATCTTGGCCAGCATTCATCAACTGGACCAGGAGATGCTCATGCTGTCACTGTGTGCTGTGTGTTTGTTTTTTATGTCCTCTGCTTCGTGGGGTGGGAATAAAGGCAAGGGGAGAAGCATCCGAAGGGCCATGGGGACCCTGAGCTGAACCAAGACAGTGGAGGAAGAAGATTTTGCCCCAGGAGTCATTTGGAGCCCACCAAGGAGGATGTTTAGTGCTTCTCTTCCCATGGTGGAGTTTTCTAAACGAGGCAGGGGATGGACTGAGGATCTCTGGAGCAGCACCAGCCTCTCCCCTGGCTGGTTCTTGTGTACTGAAAATACAGCGCAGCTTTCCTACCCAGCAGGTGCATAAGCAGTATTGCAGCACCTCTGCCAGGAAGCTCTAACATCCATTTTAGTGTTTGCCAGGTCCTCCTGAGGGAGATTGTCCAACACTGGGTGATGTTGGGGAGCTGGAGCCATCTCCATTGATCCCGCTGGCTCTGCTTGGTTGTGTTTCCATGCTCTGCTCCTGTGTTTTCCCTCTGTTTCATCCCTGTTGCCTTTATCAGAAGTGATTTGTGAGCCTTTGGAGGATCCTTTGAATGAGCTAATTCTCCTCTCCTGCTTTTAAATTTTCACCAGAGACTGAATATTCTTGGTGACCAGAGTGGAGCCTGGAGCCTCTTTCTCTTTTAACACGACCATGATCCTATAAATGGCCTGTTGCCACCTCTGAAAGCAGATGTTTAGTGTTTTCCTCTCTTCTCCCTCCCAGGAAGGTGTGACTGACTTCAGAGCCCTCCGAGCAAAATTTCAAAATGACTCCAACTTGGCCAACAAACTCGTGCAACCGCGCAAGAAGCCTCCTCCTGAAATCCCTCCCAAGCTGGGCTCTGGAGGTAACGCTGTGTCCAGCCCTCTGCCCCTGAGTAAGAGAGAAGTGATAATACTAAAACCCAAGGATGAACCTGCCCAACCTGCCTGGCAACCCTCTGCGCCCACCCAACGCAACCCCTTGGCATGGCCTCGAGCCAAGCTGGGTTATGTGGAGCCAACGGGGCACAAGGAAGAGCACAAAGGCAATGTCTTGGAGAAAGGGCTGAGTACTCCCAAGAACAGTCCAGAAAAGCCTCTGCCATCAGCCCAAACAACTCCAGAGGATGCTCCAATCACAAATTCTTTCCACCAAGCCTTACAGATCTGGGAAAACACTTTATCCCGTGGTGAGAAAGCAAGTGCAATGCTCCCAGCCCAACGGGCAGCAAACTTATATGTGCACCCTTGCCCAGAGCAGAGGGCGACACGTGCTCCGGCTGTGTCAGGTAACAGCAGGATGCGACCGTCTGGAAGCGAGTCTGTGCTGGACTTGCCTGCCCAGAAGAAGGATGCTCTGCAGGACAGTGGGCTGGCTGTTCCCCAGGCTCATGGAGGACACAGGAGCTCTGATGAAGCTGCTGCTGGGAGTGTGGTAGCAACTGCGTTCTGCCAGCCGGGTTGTCATGCACCAAAAGAGCAACCTCAGCACCAGAAAGGTATAGTAAGCTATACTCTTAACAATGAGCATGTATATATATATATGCATAGGAACATATATGTATGTAGGTGCTCTGAAAGTGCAGGTTACAACAGCTGAAGATAAAAGCTGTTATGAGTTGGGACCCCCAAAATGGCCCATTGGACTTCTCCCTTCCCTGTGGAGGTTCTGGAGATGAGAAACAGGCACCAAACTGCTGCTGAGCTTGGGTAAGGGGAGGGTTCCCCATCCCCACTGTGGGTTTTTTTTTTAAATTTGCTTCAAAAAATTGCCTGAATTTTGAGAGCAGGATAAGGGTGAGGACAGGGGCATATCTTTAGTTTTGGCTTGCTTGGGCCTTTTGCAATTACAAGGTAGATGTGACTACACCCTGCTATTTGATTTTCAGGAATAGTTTAGTTAAAATGGCTTAAACTTGAACTTTCCCCCCTCTTCATCCTCCCAGTTTTGCAAAAGGTCACATTTGAGCTTGGAGAGCATATTCTCCTTGCAATATTTCTTACAGAAACTGGTGCTAGGAAATTCGAATGCCATGAAGTTCCCCTTGCTAATGTCACACCGAGCGACAGGGCACTGAAAAGATTAAGTCTTTGTTTACCCTGGAAAGCTACCTTGCTCAGGTTGCATATGGAAAACTGCTATGCCACTAAATCCTGACAGATTAAAATGTTATCGGTGCAGAAAATGAGGCTAGTATTTTATAACCCAGAGGAAGGGAGCTGTTGAGAGCTGAGGCCCCAACATGGTTAACTTTGTAAAAAAATCTGTAAAAATGGACATTTCCATTTACTTTTCCATTCTGGTAACGTGGTAAGAGTCCCACTGTGTAAAGGGGGATGCTGAAATTGGGAGGAAGCAGAGCTGGTTAGAAATGTCTGTATAACAACTAATGATCCTACGTGGATTTTTGCTTAAATGAGGGCTAATTGCTGCCTGTCCTTGTGCTTCTCTGGAGCAGAATCAGAGCCTCCCTTCTGCCAGCCTGGAGCAGGAAAATGGTCTTACAGCCCTGGGAGCAAGTGGCCAAGAGTTAAACCTCTCCCTTTAGCTGAATCCCTGGGTCCAGCCCCTGCGAAGCCGGCAAGACCCCCAAAGTTTGATCTCAGTCCTTTCCGAAGCACCATGCCTTCAGTCCACAAAGGAAATGAAACAAGTAAGAGATTTCTACTCTTTCTCCCCGAACCTGTTCTGCAGAAAACTAATAATAATTTGCAGTTTATTGATATCTATAAAGCTATGATTCCAAGTGCATGGAAACAAGATGTTGTTACTTGTTTCTAACATCGTCAAACATTAAAAAGAGCCCAACAGTTTCAGGGAGACTGATTTTTTGCTCTTAATCTGGAAAAGGGATCTGGTTTTCCAGGTTGGCCATCGTCCCCCATGCAGAAACCCATTTTCCTCCCAACTGCAGTGTGTTGTGAGCGGTTTACAGCTGGTGGTAAAGCAGCAGCAGCTGCATACACGGCGAGCTGATCTTTATCACTCCTCTTCAGTGGGAAATGCCTTGACTCTGCAGCACACAACTGTGGGAAGGCACAATAAAATCGCTAAAAAATGGCCTGCTAATCCCCCTCTTCTGTTTTAAATACAACAGAGGGCAACATCGTTAAATGTTCCAACATCAAGAAATGCAAAAGTTCAGTTTCCCATAATAAAACCCTATTGATGTTGCATAATAGAATATTCTGGACCACTTATTAAGCTGCTAAATAGTGTTTCTTTATAGATACAGGCTTAATTATAGCCAGATCTTTAGGCACAAGTTTTGCCGAATTCAAAGGGAGCTGCTCTTCTAGGAAGGGCTCAGCTAAACTCTCTTTGGCTTTACTGTGCCAGTGCTTATTGATCTGCTCTGGTCTTGTTAAGAATAAGAGGGAAAGATAGAGGCTTTCACTGAAACTCTTTTTTACCCTACCTGCCTTTTCTAAATACATTAATTTGATGGAAGAAACTAGTTACATTTATATGTCATCAAATATTGCTGAATTATTGATCTCTAGAAAGCCTGAGGCTGTTGCCTGGGAACATGAAATAATGACGTATTAACAGAGCCACATCCCCAGTTTCTGCTGGCAAGCTTATTTCACACCTGCCTTTGTTTTGTGTGAGGCATGCTGCCTCAGGGAAGGGCCATCCCTGTCACACCTCCTCATGGTTTCAGCCTCTGTTCTGTGGGAGAACAGTCTTGCCTTCAAACGTTAATCCTCTCTGTGTTTGTGTGCAGCTGCTGACCAAGAGGATTACTTGACCCCTGCAAGGTGAGCATGTGGTGAGGCTTCGTGTGGCTCGTAGGCGGTGGGAGCATCTCCATCCATGATGCTGAAGCATCCCCGTGCAACCTGGAGGGAACATCTTGCTCCCGTAGTCAGTGATGTGCTGCAGCTTTGGGGATTGTGAGAACCTACATGGGAAGCTCAAAGCTGGCTGGGATGACCTTCTCCTAAAGTAGAAAATTAATCCCTAAGTTGGGTGGGAGTGTTGATCTACTTGAGGGTAGGAAGGCTCTACAAGAGGGATATGGACAGGCTGGATTGATGGTCCAAGGCCAGTGGTATGAGGTTCAACAAGGCCAAGTGCCAGGTCCTGCACTTAAGTCACAACAACCCCATGCAGCGCTACAGGCTTGGGGAGGAGTGGCTGGAAATCTGTGAGGCAGAAAACGACCTGGCAATGCTGCTGAATGTGAACCAGCAGTGTGCCCAGGTGGCCAAAAAGGCCAATAGCATCCTGGCTTGTGTCACAAATAGTGTGGCCAGCAGGATTAGGGCAGTGATTGTCCCTTGTACTCAGCACTGGTGAGGCTGCACCTTGAGTACTGTGCTCAGTTTTGGGTCCCTCACTACAAGAAAGATGTTGAGGTAGTGGAGCGTGTCCAGAGAAGGGCAACTGAGCTGGGGAAGGGTCTGGAGCACAAGGGTGCTGAGTTCATGGCTGAGGGAACTGGGGTTGTTGAGCCTGGAGAAAAGGAGGCTGAGGGGAGACCTTCTGGCTCTCTCCAAGTCCCTGAAAAGAGGGTGGAGAGAGGTGGGGGTTGGTCTCTTCTCCCAAGTAACAAGTGATAGGACAAGATGGAACCACCTCAGGTATAGATTGGATATTAGGAAAAATTTCTTCATCAAAAGGATTGTCAAGCACTGGAACAGGCTGCCCAGGGAAGTGGTGGAGTCACCGTCCCTGGAGGTACTTAAAATGTGTAGAAGTGGTGCCTAGGGACATGTTTTATTGGTGGATTTGGCAGTGTTGGGTTTGTGATTGAACTCGATGATCTTAAAGGTCTTTTCCAACCAAAAAGATTCTATGATTCTGTGATTTTTCTCCTCTGGGCTCTTTGAGCAGCATGGAGAGACCTGCCCCACGTGTCACTTGGTCTGAGTTAACTGGGAAAAACTGCCAGTGGTGTGGTTGCACCTGCCCGCTGTGTGTTTTTCCTTTCCTGTTTTCAATGTACTCAAACTTGGTGTTTTTAGCAAAGAGATGCTTTTGAGAATTGTTGCGGAAACAAAGCTCTGGTATAAGCAGCAGGTGTTGGGGTTATTTTTTTGCCAGCAGCGGAGGAGCTTGCCCTCTTGCATGTTTGTGCAGCCAGCCCAGCTGGGTACAGGAGTCATTGTCCCCCTCCCCATCCCTGACTTCGGCTGTCTCCAGATGCTGAAGTGAGATTTTTATTGAGTGGTGGTCCAAACTCGCTGAAGGACATGAGCTGATCAGTTCAGCTTCTGGTACCACAGATTGAAATGGCTCAAAAATCTTACAGACACAATAATTTTTGTATACAAGGGGATTTTGACTTTTTCTGGTATGTCTCTGACTTGTTAAGAGTGGTTGCGTGGTGGTCTTGGTTCTGTGCCACAAGAACAGCAGAAGTGGAGAAAAATATTCATATACATGTTTTGTCTTAGCTGCCTCAATATACATCTGTGAAAGTGGGGAACAGAATGACTGAGCCAAAGCAAAAAGAGGTGAATTCTTAAAATACTTTTTGTGCCCAAACAATGAACTCTTGCAGCTATCAACACCGCCAGTTGTGCGTTTCACATCATGAGGTGTTCCCACCAGTGTTGGCTGGTGCTCTGTTTAACTTTTAACCTATACTTGTCAGAAGAGAACTGGTCAAAAAATAACCAGCTCCAAAGCTGTCATGCACCACAAGGAAGCTGTCCTAGTAATATATTGCATCGAGATTAGCTGTCTTGGTCTAATACTTGTGATATGGTCTTTATAACAGGTCACTTGTTAAATATTAACCATGTGATAACTGGGAAAATGAATTAAATGAAGTCTAGCATAAAAGCAAAATCATGGGGTTTTGGGGGCAGAAATTCCCCTTCTCAAAGCCTCACCTGTAATGGAGTCTGGTCTCTTAGAGACGGTGACGTAGTTGCTTGGGCTGACTGATCTTGAGCTCTGATTCCTTGTTTGGGGATAAACACTCTGCTTTCATTGATGCTAGTCAGGGATCCATCAGCCCAGCTGTATTTCAGGTCCAGTGTAGCACTGTGGGATATATAAAAAGGGCTGACTGGTGTCCAGCCAAGCTCCCTGGATGCTATTTTATCCAGGGGTTGGGCTGGAGAAGTGAAAGTTCAGAGATTTTTCTGGTCTCCTCTTCCTCAAATGATGACATGGGGGTATTAATGCAATATGTATATGTGTGTCCCCTTTTGTGGAACCTATGTGTTCAAAACATGGTGTGGGACCAGAAAGCTGGCAGGCAGTGCCCCCAGTGCTGAGGGGCTGCAGGGGAGAGTGGAGGGCTGGAGCAGCCTTTGGTATCAGCACAAGCTTCTGCTTGATTTCAGGTGTCATTTCTTACTCTGATTTCACTGCTGTTAAAATACACCTTGAGTTTCTTGTTCCTCTTGTTCTGGTTTGCAACAACTACTTGGTCCTTACTCATGAAGCTGAGTTGTGACAGTAGAGTGATTCAAGGAAAACCAAACCCTCCTTGAAGTTTATTATGGACTTACTGTTAGAAGATGGAAGTTCTCACTATAACTTTTTCTGGTGCTCTTTCATCACCCTACCCCATCCCCTACATGTGTTACAAGCTGCATCTTGTGCATTTGCCTGTTCCTTGTTCACTCCTCAGCTGCCGAAACCTCTGCTGCCGTGGGCAGAGGGGAAGCCTTGGGGCTTTGCCTGCGTAGTCCAGGAAGGCTTGGATGTCTCTCTGTACCTATTCCCAAATGATGTTAATTTGAATTTCCAGAGGAGGGAAGGAAAATGGAGATGGGAAGCTCAACATGTGAGGCTGTGTGGTGCTGGGGCTGAGCTGCCTTGACTCCTCCCGCAGCTGACAAGTGACACTTGCTGTGTCAGCATGGAGCGTGTGGCTTGATAAGCTCAGGACCTTCAAACATACCCTCTGATTTCTCTATTTTCCCCTTCCTGTTTCCTTAAGTGAGAAACAGCATGCTGAACAGTGCAACCGGGTTGTTACTGATTTTAAAGTAGCTGTGGTAGGTTTGAAAAATGCTGCACTCCTCTTTTCTTGGATTTTTTGTTCTGTTTCTCCTTGAGGGATCATTGTAGGCAGAAAACCATAATCCCAGTATGAAGCCCCCTGATGTGTTCTGAGCCCTATAAATGCAGCCTTGTCCTCCCAAAGGAAAAGCAGTGGGAGTGTGAAGTCGGAAAGGAGGCTCAGCTGAGCCCTGCATCTGGCACAGGTCTCCTCTCCCTCCGAAGAATTCCTGATTTCACTTTGCTTTCTTGTAGGCTCAGTATCAAAGCGCTTGAATTCCTTGTCCTTAAGATGAATATTTTTCTTCAGACTTCTAAAATGTGCAGAAAAAACACCCTCTCTTTTTCTCTCTCTTCTTTCATCTTCTCAGCGCTCAACTTGAAGAGCAGCATAATTATGAAGAAACCTCGACATACCTGAATCAGTCTGGGGACACCACAACCTTGTCTGTCATTGAAGGTACTTTGCAAGGCAAGACTGCTAGGTGAATTACATGCTATATGGGATAGAGTCTTAAAAAAAAAGAAGTAATACAGTTTTTTCAAGTTGAGAAAACCAGCTGTGCATTTGTCTGGGTGTCTGTACTGTCCCGGTGTGCACTGGCAGTGTATGAGGACTTTGGGGCACAGACGAAAAAGAAGTTAGCATTTTGGTGGTGAGATGGTGTTTACAGTAAAACTGTGGTGGGGAAAAGTCATGAGACACTATTCATGTAGAAGAGAAAGAAGAGAAGGTAGTGAGGGAAACCTCAGCACCTTCTCAGGAACGGAAGGGTACAGAGCTTTTTCCATCTCCATCACTACTTCTTCCCAGTATGATTTTCTCTATCAGAGTTGCCACTGCTCTGCTTTTACATTTTTCAAAGTTGCCTCTTTTGGGGGATGTTAGTTTCTGCCTTGTGCATTGGTTTTCTCTAGCATTGGAATTGAAACCAAGCAACTTCCTTGGGGGGACCTGTCACAGCTTTCTTGGGTTTGCCCCTGGGGTTATGAAAACTATGGCCAGTAAAGGTCGATGCTCCAGTCCTCTGAATGTAAACCAATGCTAAATAGCAAATTGAAGGACTCTGGCCAGCAGGACATGGTGAATATACCATGGTGAATGTGTGTCTGGATGCTGAGCATGTGAGCCAAAGTTGGGTTTTGCACCTTAAATTGTAGTGACTTTAACATGGACTAAAAAGTAATATGTACTCACAAATATCTTTTCTAGTACCTAAGGCAGAGCCTCAAGAACACAAGGTAAGTCTCATCACAGTAAGGCTTTTTGATCTTTCAGGCTTGACTGTACCATACATACCATGCTTTCCTTTTAATATCTGTATTTTTTTATCTGCTGAGTATTTCTTTATGAGTGTTGTCTGTGAAGATTTAAAAAAAATAGATAAGAAATTGCAGAGAGGACATGAAGATTGACTCTTGTCATTTTACCCTGGCTGGAAAATGGGAGGCAGTTCACCTTGGCAGCGGAGATACCCTGCAGTGAAGGCAGGATAGTGCATTGCTCAGGGCAGGAATTGCTACAGCTGTCCCTAGAGAAGACCTGCTTGGTTGCATGGTCGAGCTCACAGTGGGTAGCTGGGCTGAGAGCACACGTCACCTTGTGCCAGGAAATAATAATGTACTGGGTATCAGTTCTGACTCTGCTACAAGAGGGGAAAATACTCTTGGAACACATCAAACTACACTTTCAAATCCTGACTTGCAAAGCAATCAAATTGTCGAGGAAATAGCCCAGGTTTCCAAATGCACTTATCTGTGCATGATTTGCAGAGAGGTTCTCTGGCTTGGCTGTAGTCTTGTTTTATGGTAAGCTGAGAAATCTTTATTTAATTAAAAAAACTTCCTCCTCTTCTGTAAGCTCTCCAACCTGTAATTGCTTTCATTCTGACCAGTAGCTTCATTGGCCTGATCCCTTGCACTGTTATATTATCCCCATATAGTTTGTCAATATGTGTATCCCTTGTCCTGCAAAGTAGAGGAAATATCCTTGTCTGATGACTATTCCAAATGTAAAACGCTTCTGGGCTTTCTAAAGAAATATTTCTTTAAATACTAGATGACAGTTGAGGCCTTGAGGCTTGACTGCTGAAAAAAAGCACAGTGGCTGAAGGTTTTCCTCTTCTTTATTCTAGAAACAGAAGAGTTTTCTCTTTGCCAAATCCAGGTAATTTCCTTTACTTTCTAAGCTTCTAACCCCACAACTAGCCCAGGTTAGGATTAGAATATTGTAACACTCAGTAAATAGAAAGAAATTTCATATATTCCCTAACCAGGACAATGTAGATGATGATGGTCTTCTATGTCAGCACTCATGGTTTCTAAGATTGTTTTCATTCTAAAGCATATCTGGAGCAGAGATTTTATTCTTTCCTCTGGCACACAAAAAAATACATTGTCTTTTCCTACTGAAACCTGAACTCTTTCAGTGTAAGAAGGGAGAGGTATGATGACATACCCAGTTCCAGGTCCAAAGCTGTGTGGTAAGGCAAAGTCCACACTGAATTTCACCCTATAAATGTCACGTTTCAAAGTCCTTGCAGTTTTTAATTACTGTCACTGGCTGAAGACTGTTTTTTTTGATGGGAATTGAGGAATCATGTAATAAAAGGGGGTCACTTGAGTGGGAAATGTTGTAATGCTGGAAAAAAAGGCATCATGTCCAGCCTGCTGTTGCTGTATGTTCTTCCCTAAATGGCAATATCGTATGATGAGAGGCGGGGACCACCATTGGCAAATGGATCTACCTTGTCCCTTCCTGCTACTAGAAAACAATCATCTTAGTTTGTCTCTTTTCCAAGAGTGATTGCTATTACCTGAAGTAACCAATGGCCTTTAGATTTGGATTTGCCCTTACTCTTGGTACTGACAGTCTTTTTGGCATCTACCTCATTCAAAAGGGAAAATGAGCTGCTTATTTGGACACAGATTGATCTGTCCGTGACTTTGTTAAAGTGTCTCTGTTCTGAGATCTCTCTCATTTCTGAAATTTTCAGTCTGGGAAGAGAGATAATAGAGGATGAAAAAGAGGAAAAAATAAGTCTTGAAAGAGAGAAACAGGAAGCAAAGAGCATTTTCAAGGTATCGTATCCTTGAGTCTACTTTTAATAGTTACTGTAGGATGTCTCTTCTCCTTCTATCCTCCCTCTCTTCAGGAAACAGTTGAAATTTCAGTCCTTAATCACCTCTTTTTTAATACCTTCTCTTTTTTAATACCTTCTCTTTTTCCCGCCCATTGCTTAATTGCTGCTGCCTGAAAGGTAGGTAGTGCTGCCAAGCAGCACCTATATCTACCAGGAATCACTGATAGAAAAGGGTGTGAACTTGTTTTAAGTCCCCAGAAATATAACTTTTATTCCTATAGATGCATATATGTAAGTTATATTAACTTAGAAATCTGTTTCTAAAGACTGTATTGACCAAACCAGATGTCTGATCTCAGACAGGTGGAAATGAATATATATGCCCCAAAAGCCAAACCGAGGAAGATGGCAGAGGTGGGATGAAGGTGCTGCAAGTGAAGCAGGATGTGACCAGTACCCAGACTGCAAAGCATCCTACCCCACAAGGGCTGGCAAAAGACGAAGCAGAGCTCGGTGAGTATCTCATTGCGCTGTTGAGTGTTTCCTCAATCCTCAGTCCCATCTGTTGCCCAAATGTCTCTTCCATATGGGAAATTATGTTAAATTTGGATGCAACTCTTGAACCAATTTAGTTAAACCAGGGCAAAAGGTTGCATGTGCATTTGTATTCTGGTCTGAATCATTTATTTTGGCTTTGCAAATAGCTTCCTAAGTTGGTTAACCATCTGCGTAACTCAAACCGAGGTGTTTGTTTTTCTAGCAGATTGCCCTTATCCGAGAGAGCTGAAATCCATCTCCTCTGCTTCTCATAATTTATTGAGTCTCAGAAAAGGAATTGGCTGAGGCTTGTGGTAGAAACACACGTGAGCAGGATGAGAGCCTGAAGTCTCCCCTGTCTCTTATTAAGATGGATGAAGGCTCCTTTCTCCATCTTCTTAGTTCCAGTGAACCTTTTTCTGACTTTGGGCTCCTTCTGTCATGATGCTCTAAGATAACGTCCAGAGCTGGTGATAGGCACCTCAGCTGCACAATTCAACCCAGTCGTGTCTCCTCTGTAAACTCTATTTTGCAAATTCAGGTATAAGTATGGCTCTGTTTTGCAAAGGTTTGCTCCTACCTCTGCAAACCATTAGTGTGATATTGCAAAATTTCAAAGGTGAAAGAGAGAAAAGTCGCTCTGCTGGGCTCTGCGGACAGATCAGGAGTGTGAAGGAGAAAGTGTAAATTGACTGTGGCTGTGGTTGTTGTTATTGGTGTGGTCCTCGTTTTGTTTTCCTTTTTTGAATTTATTTTCAATCACTTCATAATAATTTTCTGGTTTGGTTGGCGTCTGTTTTTGTAAGAAATCTTGCTGGTTTGCTTGACCTTTGAACAGCTGGAGGTAGTTTCTGTTGGGATTTTTTTTAAGTACTCACGGTGAGCCTCCTGCTATTGCTTCACCAGAGAAACTGATTGGAAGAATGGTTTGGTGTCCCACCCTCCTCCCAGCTTTCCTTCTTCATGGGGGTTTGAAAGTTTTGCAGAAATTTTGGTCATTAACTAAACTGTATTGTGGTGGTGCATGTTTCTGGTGAGACCTACTGCATGCACCTGTGTACATTTAGAAGCACTATCTGCTTTTATTTGTGTGGCTGCATTTCTACATTACTCCAACTCTTAAATCAGTTTTAAGGATTTAATATTGCCACTTAACAGAGTCCTCCAGTAATAATCTTTTTCTGACCTCATGAGGAGCAACTCTCGTGCTCTGTTACAGCCCATGGAGGAAAACATCTCTGGGATACTCTTCCTCCTTGTCTCTTTTCCAAGGATGCCGATTTACAGGTGTATTCCCAATGGACTGGTTGTTACTTGGATCTTAGCATCTCCACCAACCATGCTAAGCCCTCCTTTCAATCACTTCTGTCAGCATCCATGAATAGTCTCTTGGGATGTTTTCTGGTGAGGAGCATTTGGGTCAGAGCTGCCACAACTGAGAATATTGATGGATGTTTTAATTTTTTTAAACCTAAAATATTTTAAAACTATAGCATGTTTTAAAGTTAAATGCTTTTCTTTCTCAAAGTGTCTCAGAACAGAGACTTTCTCGGTCTCCTGGAAGGGAAAGTATGTCTGTAAGCTCTTATTTGTTGTGGCATCAACTCTTATCCTCAACAGTTGTCCTTGCCCTGAGAGAAGATCCTCGAAAAAGCTTCTAAAACAAAGGTCCTTTCCTATTTCCAGTGCGCTATGTGTATGTTGGTGCTCTAAAGCCAGGGGTAGAAAGAACAGCCTTGAACCAAAACACTCAGCAGTCCCTACAAGCACCAGAGGATATATACGATGATGTTGAGGAAATACAAGATAGACTGTGAGTATGGACCTGGGCTCTTTCAAATGGTTGTGTCTATGAAATGTCTTTTTAAAAACTATGCTGCAGCACATCCACATACAATATTTCTGTCTTTTAGCAGCCGCATGTCAGATGCCTCAAGTCTCTTTGCTTCAGCCAGCAGTAAGTGCAGCACATGGGGAAGCTCAAACGGGAGCTGTTTTTACTTTGGGATGGTCCCTGGGAGATGATATGAATGGCTTCATTTAACTTTCAACATCTATAGTGTCTCCTTCTGGCCTGGTTGCTCTAAATTCCCATTAAAACCAGTGGGGAGCAATACACGTGTCTAGCATGGAATTCATCTGAGCGACCTTGAAACCTCTGTAAGAGTAAAATGTAATGGCCTGGCTGCAGTTTGTCCAGCAAACCTCCCCTCATTGCTACTGAACATCGTTTGTGATAATGATGTGCCTTGGTTTTAAGTTTCAGGAAACAGTTACGAAGAAACATATGAAGATGTTGAGATTGGGGGTGATAATCCAGCAAAAATCGAGTAAGTTGCAATTTCTTAGCCTGTATTTTGAAATACTGACCTTGATCTTCCATACCAGGTGCTGGGTGGAAGCCTTTTTTTTTTTTTCCTAATGCAACTGCAGAAAAGTTGTTTTATGGGTGGGTTAGTTCCCCCTCTTCCTCCCTCTTTCCCCTTTGGCTGACACTTAGGTAGCAAAAAATAGTTACCAAAATTAAACCCCTAAGCAGTAACACCTTTCTACTAGAGCTCATAGTGCTCTCCATCCACCGGAAGCACTCCCCTTCCAGACCTCTGCTTGCATAAGACACGCAGGACAGTCTTGCTACACTTCTCTTGATCCAAAGCGTTGCTCAGCTCTAGCTGAGAAGTGGCACCTTTTTTGGTAAGTGGTAAAGCTTGGGGGTTGTCCCCACAAAAAAAGGGACCAAATGCTCACATTTCAGATCACAGGAGGTCCTCAGCTCTAGCTGAGAAGTGGCACCTTTTTTTTTTCCACGTGCCAAAAGTGGTGAAGCTTGAGGGTTGTCCCCACAAAAAAAGGGACCAAAAGCTCACATTTCAGATCACAGGAGGTTGGAAAGCTGAAAGGAGCCCAGGCTGTGAGCTAATGACTGCAGCTGACCTGCTGTAACTAACTCCCAACCTGCTCTTTTTTATATAGCTTCTCAAGATATTTGCTTCCACAGGGTGTGTTATAAAAGCAATGAGTTTTGCAGCCTCGGGTTTATACATTGCCTAAGCTTCCCACATGGATTAAGAGGTGAAACGTGAAGTTAATTGTGTTTTTACTTGTGTGGTTCCCTACCCTCATGCAGGAAAAGATTTCCTGCATCCCTTTGTAAGAAATAGAGCCAGCCTTTGGGAACAGCATCTGGGCTGGGGATGCTGCACACAACGGCTTGGAGTGCATCTGGTGGCTCTCTTCTAAGGAGCAGCGTGGGAGGAATAATAAGGTGTTGCTATACATCTGCTTTTCCCTTACGGATGTGAGATGTACTGGCTTGCAGCTGGATTCAAGTCTAGTTTATGCGTGTGTGTAGAGCCTGCGTGTGTGAGAGGGGAAAAAGTTATGGGAAGCCTGGAACCCTGGAGGTGACTGGGCAGTTACTGAAAGGCAAAAGTGTCATCTCTCTGAAAATTGTCCATGGGAGTTGTGTGGTGGAGGTGCATGAGCTTCTCTGGCCAGAGGGTAGGGTGCTGGCATCTGTGTCTGGCTCCCAGATTGACCGTGCATGTCCCCTGCCATCCAGGAAGCGTACCCATGCTTCTTCTGCACCCCGCTGCACATGGGTGCTCAACAGCAGCAGAAATTAAACTCTCTCACTAATTCACAGAGAAGCAGTGCATCTTGCTGGGTTTTCAAGGGAATTTCATGAAAAAACTAAGGTTGGGACCAAATTCACAGAGTTTGGAGGTCAGTGTCTTCATCTCCAAACTGGTCTTTATGGAATCTCTCTATTGATCCCACAGGCAGGATTAGGTGTGCTGATACACATGAAGTATTTTTAATAGTACTGGCGCATGGGTAATGTCCCCCATGTGAGGGTCTTGGTTGTTCACAGATACTTTATTATAAAATTGCTGTGTAGCTTTGTAACCCCCCGTAAGCTTCAAAGAGAAGTGTGTGTAGTGGAACATTCTTCTCAAGAGCATACAGGACAGAAATGTGTGATGAAGGGTGGCAAAGACAGATGCTCCTGATGTCCTCCTTTAATGTGGCACTGCATGTTTCTGGGGAATTTTTGTCCCTTTTATCAGGAATTTTTACTCCAAATAAACCTGGATCATTCTGTAGCTGATGGGTCAGAGGACAACTGCAGTTAACAGGGAAAAATTTGAAGTTAAGCAAAGGTTTGAGCTTGGACAATTAAGCACCTTTTGCTGTGTTGATGCCTATCCCATTGAATCCGTCATTCATCTGCATGATGCTGTTAAGGCTTAATGCCCCTTTAATTTAAAATCTGTTTCCTCTTTTGCACAGAACAGAAAAACAAAAGAGATTTGGAAACCTGTTTAAGATAGAAAAGTTGAAGCTGAAGAATAACAAGTTCAAGGAAAATTTAAGGTAAGAAAATGTTGGTTGTCCAATCCCTTCCTTTTCCAAACCTAAGCCTTCATATTTGCAATAACTTGAGAGCAGGAGATCTAGGAGTAAGGAATAAAGGAGTAATAAGGAATAAGAATAATAAGGAATATTTATGGGGAAAGTTATGCCAAAAGTGCTTCTACCAACTCATTAGGAGCTTCTATGGCAAATGTGGCCAACAGTCCATCTGTGTAGCTTCTCCAAAGGCATCAGGAATCAACAGGAGTTGGTCCTGAAGCAGTGTCCAAGTTTTCATAGGCTTTCTGCTGCCCATGGTACCTTTCTGATACCTCAGCCTGATGCGGGTACACAAGGGAACATAGAAATGTGATACCTGCTGCCTAGACCTGTAGGCCAGGATTAGGCAAAGGCTTGCTGACGTGGCTCTTAAGGGTTGATTTTTTTTATTTTTTTTTATTCCAAGTACCATTTATGTAGTCAACCTGGCAACAGCATCTGCTGAAGAAGTTTCCTATGGAGCCTGTAGTCTGACAAGTCAGAATAGAGGATATTGTGAGGATAATATGATACTTCCTATAGTGCCCTTTTGGGTACTCTTACTTAATATTCAAAACCCTGGTTAAGGTTCCATGGAAACTGCCTTTTCCTCAAGTGCACAGTAGCTGCCTGCAGAACCCATCCTCCACCACTGCCAGCACGTGCCTCACCCTGTACACAGTGCCTGAAGTCCAGGAAAATGTTGCTTTTTCTTATTTCTTTGGAAGTTCCAGATTAACCCTTTCCTCCTTTATATGAGGAAGGTTTGTTTTACTTAAAAACCTTTTCACAGGAGGTGCTGTGCCATGTCAGTGGCTCCTTCCTGCATTACTGTTAAATATAATTATTGGGAAGGAGCCACCGGGTTTCATGCCATTCTCCTGTTGCAAAGAACCCTTAAAGCTCCCTCAAGCATCTTACATATCTACAATCATTGCCACATTTAAACTCCTGGGCAGCCCACGGTATTGTCAGACTACAAGGAGGGAATAACTGCTGACTACAGCTGCCAACTGTCCATCCACCCTCTAGCTATTGGGTGTAGGGGTGGGCAGGAGGAGGGTGCTTTTGCTGATTTGGATTGTTCTTTGGATGCATTGTAGACCTTTCATAACCTGCTTGATGAACACGTGGGTCTTGTTGCTGCCAGAGGATGGAGATGCTTTTTTAGCAAGGGATGTAATTCTGGCAAATGTGGTTGGTGTCACAGAGCTCATGCACCTAGACCTGCCTCAGTCACTTCAGCAGCAAGCGCTGCTAGTTTGTTGGTACTCGTGGCTTTTTGGGCAATGCTGATGTGCAAACTTTTTTCTAAAAGCCTTTTTCTATTTGCAGATTGTTTTCCATTTCGGTACCAAATTTAGGTAAGCAACATATGTGTATCTGACTCTTGGGGATCTCTGTGTGTGTATGAAGAGGCAAATGTATTGCACAATGGGAAATCAACTTGATGCTTCGTGCCTTTCTGAAAATCATGTAAAGTGGCAGCATTAACTTTGAAGATTTAACAGAGATTTGTGCTTTCCTCGAGGGTGTGTTTTTTGCTCATTTTTGTGTGGTTTTTTCTTTGAAGAGGAGTATTCCTCTTGAAGATCTAAATAGATTTAGGAAGGCAACGTGTGAAGCAGTCCATGCTAAGCCATGGCTTCCAGGCTGGCAGTGATGTTGAACAGCCAACTGTGCTCTGGCTGCTCTCTGTAAAACTACTTATTGCTGCCTGCTGGATGGACAAGTTCATGCCTCGTGTAAATGGGGGTGGATGCAAAAACTGTCCCCATTAATCAAGCCTTGAGAAGGTGCTGAAGTGAGCATACCAGTGCCCTTAGGATGGGAAACCTGCTTGGGTTGGCTGCAGCCCCAGAAGCTGGGGCTTTGCTGCTGCTCTTGTTCCATCCCTGGAGCTGGATGGCCAAACCCATCCAGAGAACTGCCCACAAACATGACTAACAAAGCCAAGCATCCTGCCTTGTGCTGAAGTTTTGGATGGTTTTTGGAGTCCCAAGGATCTTCCTTTTGCGTTGTCTTGGTACCCCTTTGGGTTGAATGACTAGCAGCAGCCCCGCTTTTCCTCTGCAGTACATTGCTTTGAGTACCAGACTCAGAACAACATCTAATGAACTTCTCTGCTGCATTTCGGTTGACAGCAACTGCTTCCAAGGAGGACATGCTGTACGACGATGTTGAGGTGGGGCAGAGAGAGCTGAGGTGAGGAGGGTGGTGTTGGCCCTGGGCCATGGAGATGTTCCTCTTGGCACAAACCTATGCCCTGGGGAGCCTGCTGTACTGCAAGCTACTGGGGGTCATGAGCTGGTCAGGACTCAGTCCTCTGAAGACAGTCCAGGTGCCCTCTCCATGTGTGTTTAATTTGGCAAGTGGCATCCTGCAAGATGTTTCTTCAACGTTACCTAGTTAGTGCCAGAGACGTGAAAAGGAGAGAGCTGCTCCCTGAAACATGTGAAAATTCAGATAGTTTTCCTAAGGAAGGAAAACTCCAGCTCCCAGACCCGATAATCAGCCCCGTCCTGGCAAGCTCCTTGTCAGAAAAATTACTTCTAATAGGAACAGCATGTCTCCACGTCTTGCTGCCAGATGATTGTGGCGGCAGCGCGTGCTGGTATAAATCGCAGCAAGTGTTTGCGTTTCAGGGGTGGTTGTGGGGGGGGAGACGGAGAGAAAAATCACGACTTTGTAGGTACATGGGTTTGGGGAGGGGACACGGTCTGCTGGAAAAACATTGAATTTCTGTGTGGCTCTTTCTCCTCCTCGCAGAGAGAAGGATGACAAGTCTAAAACCTGGATGCCAAAATTCCTGATGGCAAAAGAGGACAAGGACCAAAGGAAAAGCAGCGACGATGAGGAAAGGTCTTGATTTTCATTCTGTGTTTTCCTGCGTTGTCAAAATTTGCACGTGTGTCTCTTGAGTCCTTTGCAGGACTCGATAGCCCTGATTGCGCAAACATTTTGTGTTTGGCTGCTGCTCCAGGGTCCTTTCGTTTCAGGAAATTTTGAAGAAAATATCTTGAAGGCAAAACAAACTCTTGGATCTGAACTGTATGCGAGTAGGGGGTACCCTGAGGGTCTCATCCTGAAATTGTATCATATCTTCCCACTTAGCCAAGACAAAAGAGTGCTATTTGCTATATATTTGGCTGCTTTTTTGCCCTGGTCAGTTCCATTCCTTCTTTAACTGTGCCTTGATTAAATATTTGATCTCTGTGGATCAGCTTATTGCTATTGTGGCAAGAGTGCTGTGTTTAGAAGCCCTGTACGCAGAGTAGTAATTGCCTGTGTGTTCCCCTCACCCTTATTTGAAAGTATTGATTTCTCAGGTCTTCTTTTTCCAGTTGGGTTTATTGCGTTGCCTCTCACTGTATCATTTCTGCATAAAAGCAAAAATTAAAATTGTGTTACTGGCACTGCAAAAATTCACATGGAAGTAGGAGTTTCCATTTCCCTTTTAGATCAGAAAAGTGTGCGTTGCAATGAGCTTTTTCATCACCCAATACCTGGGACTTCAAACAAATGCAAATCAGAGATCTATTTTCTGGGCTCTCACCACAGAGCTCCTGCATGGGGTTGCTCAAACACTGTTTGTTGTTTTGTGCAAAGTCATGCGTATAATTTTACAAACTATCAGGAAGTTGATGTGATTTCATCTCTTCCTTTAGGTCCCGCAGGCTGAGACTGCCAAGGAGGAATCTCTTCTCAGCTTAAAATACCCTAATTTCAACTCTTGTCTCCCCTCCTCTTAATTTTAAGTGCATGAAAGTTAGCCAAGGGTGGATAATTTATTGCAAGTCGGTGATTTTTGCTTGTTTGTTTGTTTGTTTGTTTTTTCCTGTCTTAGTTTTAAAATGAATGTCATAGCTGGCATTTCACGTACAAACCAGAAAGAGTGGCATCTCCATACTCAGGGAGTGCCCGGGTATGAATGGCTGTTGCTCCCCTTGGGATGGTTATAAGATCTTGTTTTTCACTTTATAGTGCCACATAAATAAGTTCTTGGGTGACTTTCTGCTCCATGTGCTAAAAAACCAACAAAAATCTGGAGGGCTGTGTCGAGCTCACTTCCATAAATGACTCAGGATGACAGTTATCTGGGGACCCTTTACGTTTGACTATAAATAAAACCTGAAGGAGACAAACTGCTGGGGGAAAGTTGTTGATGTCGATAAAAACACGACTGATTTGAGACACTTTGAGATTGTTTGTTACTATGCTGCTTACAGAGAAACCAGTTATTCCAAATGGAGATACAAAATAGCTCAAGTTATGCTCACCAACAGATTTGAGTTGTATATTCATCCTTTTAAGAAAAATATTGATGTGAACGGTGTGCTTTGCTCTTCTGAGAGAGGCTGGAATTAGGCTCTGGGTTGCATTTCCCAATGTGCCAGAGGTTATTTAAATGGAGCTGAGAAGTCTCTCTCTCTCTGTCTCTCTCGATGCAGAAATATCTTCAAAGTCAAGAAGAGCAATGCAGAAAAAAGCAAGAAGATGGAAAAAGAAGAAAAGTTTTTTAGAGAAACATTTATGGTATGTGGCTTTTTAGAGAACTAGTTGTGTCAGAGAAGGAAAGCTCTGACATGTCATGCTTAAAGATGCATGGTGGAAATTTGTTGTTCCTTAGCTACGCTGGGAGAGATGTCCCACTAACCTGCTTGCCTTCTCCCCTAATCTGGAATCTTCATCAGGGACTTTGCCAGGGTGTTTTCTCCTCTCTTCAACCCCAAACCAAGCTTCACAACCCATCCTGAGATCTCTTCTCTCCATCCCTCTCCACTGCCCTTAAAGACATTGCACACGAGTGTAGAGTAACTTGTGGTCCTATTTCTTTTCTGCAGTACGATAAGGAGATCAATGTCATCAACACAGCCACGGCCGAGCGCTCGGTCCCCAGTAAGAGGAGAGTTGATCTCCCGATCACAGCTGGAGAACAGCTGGATGTTATTGATGTCACGGAGGGCAATGCAGTGATTTGCCGCAATTCGGAGGGCAGATGTAAGTTTGCAGAAAGCCTCTGGCATGGGTGGTCACTGTGCAATCCAGTTTTGAGGAGCAAGCAACAGTATGTTCTTTGTGCTTAGCTGCTGTGCCCTTATTTGCTCAGGAGTTTATTAATTTGCTGCTTTTTTTTTTTTCCCCTTCTCTCAGATGGGTATGTTCTAGTGGAGCATTTGAACTTCAGGTAAACTCAGATTTTTATATATTATGATGCATATTTTCTTCTCCTTCCTGTGTATAGATATTTGAGATCTAGAGAAATGTACTTCAAACTTCTGAAGGCAGGGGAAGGTTAATGTAAACAGCCAGTATTAAATATTAAATAAGTATTTCCAGTTTTAGTCTGCTATTCTGCTGTTATACAAGTTTCCAGCCCAACTGCAGCTAAAAAAAAACTCCAGTCCAGTCATGACTTATATAAATTGGAGATTCTTGACTTGCCTTCAGATATGCCATATTAATTCACATCTGCTGCAAACATGGGCCGCTCGGTGTGCATCGCCTTGCCAAAACACACCCCTAAATTCCCTGCTGCACTAGCATTTCCTTGCATGCTCATGCATAATTGATACAAATCAACCTCCTATTACCCACTGCTGTGAAATTTTCTTTTTTTTGAGCCAGACAGTACTAACTGCCCTGACTGCTGCTCTCCCCTGGAGCATCCCTGAAGGTCTCTTTTGTGCTTCCCGCATCCGTGAGAGCCCACGTTGATCAACTGTGGAATGATGATGTGAATGTAAATAAAGTTTTATTTTTCACACTGACACTGTTAAATGTGCAAGAGCCATTTCCTTTTTTGTCTGCTATTTAACGCACGTCTTCACTGATTATCTCAACATCAGTTATTTTCAGTATTTCTCACTTTTTCGAGTACCTTGTTGGTCAGCTCTGAAATAGCCATATCATTTCTGTGTTTGCATGAAAAAAAGTGGGCAGTCTAGTTGCTCTACCTCATTACTGTCTGTTGTAGGTGCTGGAATTGCAAGATTCCTCAAAACATTTGCTCTTCAAAAAGCAAACCATATAAATTTGAACTGGTTTTGGGCTTGACAAAAGTATTGAGACAAGAAGTATATACTGCCACTCTTGCTGGGTTAGACATACAAAATAGTGGAAAACTTGACTCATTTCTTTCCAAGAAACATTAAAAAAGAGTAAATAAAGCATTCAGTCAAAATTTACTTTATTTTTGTAAGCTAACTTAGGCATCCCAGATATGTAAAGGCTGACTTCTGGCTCCCACCGACTCGCAGCGGCAGGCAGTTACCCAACAGTTGCCCCTGTGTTCGGGCACTTCTCCGCTGTGGGCCTGGAGGATGATTGCTTATTTTAAGAAAAAAACCTCCTAAATGTAGGAAGAGAAATAGAAATTGCTAATAGCTTCTCCTCAGTGTATCCACTGATGCCTTTTCAAAAGCAGAAAAAATTTCAATAGGGTTTTTAAAAGGCTTTGAAAGAAAAAAAAAACCCTTAAATATGACTATAGAGTAGAGCTTCTGCCCCTCCCCAGCACCTTCTAAGAGCCCATATCAGTTTGCTCATATATATCCTAAAAATGTAGATGGTTTAATTAGAAAATATTAAATGTTCCAGGTTTAAGAAAACAGAGAGAAATAAAAGCACTGTTTGCCACACGGCCATTTCAAAGCTGGCATAGAAGACATCAGAAAAACAGAGCAAATATTTAACATTTACTTTTAAGTCCATACAGGCATTCTTATTTATTTTACCATGTGGTTACTATTAAGTGCATTGGCCTGCATCCATCCTTGCAATAAAAAATAAATAAAACAAACCCCTGTAAGCATGCGCAGCTTTGCAGACTTGCCAGCTCAAATATTTAGATTTCTCTAGCAGAGAAGGAGCATTCGTGGAGCTGAAGTGCGTGTTTGGCTTCAGAGCAGGCTGGGATGTGTGCTGTATGTCCTTCACCTACAGCCTGTGTGGGGAATTATCCTGATGGAAGCTGTGGAGATGGTTTACCTGGGGATCTTTTTTTCCATGGCAATGTCTAGGATTGATCCTGTGAAGAAAACACCCACTTCCCCGACTCCTTCTTCATCCTTCTCCCCATCCAGCATGAGCTCACAACTCCTGAAGTTTATTAATGACACGCTCTGTAAGCACCAGTGGCAAATCTTGTATTACCCACATGTGCTAGTTCTTTTTTGCCTCCCAAGGAAGTTATTTAACTTTTTTTCTTGTAAATTAATTTAATTTCTTTTAAATTAAGTTGGTTTTTTTTAAAAAAAAATCTTCCCATAGTCGTGTGATATACTGGGCCCTGATCCTGGTGCAATTAGACACAATCCTTGTGGGGTTTGTGACCCAACTTGATGCAAAACACAAATTTTGCACTGGTGTTGGCAGCTGACTTAATGTGAGGACGCCTTGCAATGCACTTAAAACTTATTTTTCTTCATGGACAGATTCCAATGTATGTACAGAAGGAAAGTGCTTGATATGGGGTGATTAAAGACAATGCAAAGATGCTTTTACATATAGTAACTTAGATTTCCTCAATTAAACGACAGGTTGGATACATCTAGGTCAAGATATTGGTCAGGAAATTACATTATTCCTTTTTTCTTTGCTGGTACATCCTAAACACATCAAAACTTGAAGTAATTCTCATGTGAATTTTAGACCCTGTTCCTCCACCTTTCTTCTCAAAATGGAGACCATCAGGATAACTATTCTGATTTGCTGAATCTGAGGGAGAACTGGAATTTCTTAGAAGCCAATTCTGTAACACCTAAATTGTGTAAAAAGGAGAGTATGGATAGGAACTGGAACACTCACCACAGCTTTGTGCTTTAACTGGGTTTACATCCCTCTGCATCACAGGTGTATATGAACTAAGTCCCCAATACCCCTGCAAGCTCCTTCCCTGCAATGAAAGGTTATTTTTGCACAGTATCTTTAAAACTCTTCTTGCCATGCTTTTGTGTAAGGAGTTGAGATCTGAGTCAGCACAAGTCCATCAGCTCTGCTGGATGCACGTTAATACACAAGAAAACCCTTGGGCCTGGCTCCTGGCGTGTATTCTGGGATGGGGAAGCTGTTTATGTTATTCACATATATATTTTAATTCCCTTCCCTGCCCCCTCACCTCGCCCCAAGACTTGGGAGTAATCCATGGCCCGGCAGCCGGGATGTGCCAGGAGCATCTCCAGAGGGAAACTCTACCAGCCAAGCCCAGCCTGCAAAAAAGGAACTGTGCAATAAGTAAGTTTTAAGGATTTGCTGCTCTTGCCTCTTTTCATCTCGGAGTTTATTAAAGTGCAAATGTCAACCATGGAGACAGCTATCGCATGCAGTGCAGTACACCGAGAAACGCTTTCCACACCATAAATGGAAGGTAAAAGGCTTCATTGTGATTATCTAACGCACAGTTACTTGCACAAAGGACAAAACTGAACCTAGGCTCTGTGCCCTTCCACAACAGCTACACCCAGAAAGTACTAAAGCAAGTAATTTGAAAAATAAAAACCAACAAACCTTCTCCCGTCCGTCAATTGACAAAGTACAAAATGCCAAGAAGGATGAAGTATTTGTAAAGCTCAAGATTTTTTTCTGAGCTTCATGCTAATGTATTGAAGGGATGCTAATACTCTGAGCTTTTTAAAGTTGAGTATTTTAACAAAAGAAAAATCAGAAATACTTTTTATATTAAGAACAAAAAATTACAGTGGACTAGTCTGGTTTGTATCTCTCATAGACCTGAGGTGTGTCTGCCCCAAGATGCTGGGCCATGGACACTACAGTTAACCTGGGATTCAGTTTTGCTTTGTGCTTGAAAAGAAAAAAAAACAAAAACAAATGCATTGAGGTACAAAACACGTGAATATAACATGATACAAAACACATGAACATGCTTTCAGCAACAAGAATAAATATTACCATGTCTACAGTATCTACTTCACAGCTTCGTGAGATGAGGATAAACAATTTCAAAACTTGACAGTTAACCTGGGATTCAGTTTTGCTTTGTGCTTGAAAAGAAAAAAAAACAAAAACAAATGCATTGAGGTACAAAACACGTGAATATAACATGATACAAAACACATGAACATGCTTTCAGCAACAAGAATAAATATTACCATGTCTACAGTATCTACTTCACAGCTTCGTGAGATGAGGATAAACAATTTCAAAACTTGAAAAAAAAAAACCCAACAGAGATGAACTTTAGAAATAAACTTTGATTTTTAAATTA